GATCACTAAAATTGTAGAAAAATTTGCAAAATTTTCTTGTCGATTATTTTTCATAATTTTTTTAAAAGAAATATCTGTAAATTATTTTTTGCAAATAAAATTCGTAAATTTTTTTTGTGAAATTATTATTACAAGAAAATTCGCAAAAAATTTCTGCGAATATTTTTTTGTAAGAAAATTCGCAAGAAAATGACACTTTTCTAGAAAAATGATACTTTTCTAGTAGTGATATAAATAGTAATCTTTTTTTTAATATTTAATTTTATATTTGATATTTTAATAAGTGTCTAATTTACTAAATTAGTTGACCATTTTAGACACTTATCTAGCTAATTTGATATGAAATTGAGAAGTAAACCCCCTATATATGTTTGTAGTTGGAATCAAAAGGATATGGAATTATATATTTTGTTGAGAGTGATGGTATTTTGTATATTAATTTTGAGGTTTTGATCTTGCAAGGGAAAAAGCAAGCTTAGGTTCCAGTTCAAACCCAAAATCGCTCAGTCGTTTGGAAAGTGCTAAGCGGTTTGGGTCTAAAGAACATGATAAATCTAACCTCAAAGAGTTTAGTGGATCTCTAGGCTCAACCATGCATTGATGTTTCTTCCCTTTGAAGAATGCTCAAACCACTTAGCCATTTGGAAAGCAATGAGTGATTTAATATCTCTCCTCCACATTTTGTTTTATTTTGGATGATATATAAAAGGAGAAACAAAGAGAGAAATTGGGAGAGGAACATGGGCGAAAGAAGAACAAAGCTTGAAGAATCTTGGAACTAGTTGGGAATGGGGATTCTTACGGATTTCTTTTCTTTTCTTTTACATTTTCTATGTATCTTGAATCGGTTCTTATCATCATCATGAGGGGTTGATCTTTTTGTTTTGTTGGGATTAAATGTAAGCCATCAACTCTTGTATATTTCTTTTGATTCATTTATATAAGACGTATTATTTAGTGTTAGTGATTGTGGTTCTGTTCTTAATACTTGATTATTTGATCTCTTATTTTCAATTTGGGATTTAGAATTTAGTTAGAAAACAATTTCTAAATTTATTCTGAATCAAATCACCTATCAATTTCAAAGGCTAAGAATAGTTTTGAGATTGTTAGTTGGTCAAGTTCTTAACGTTTAATGTAAGATATCTAACTTGATAATTAGAGGAATCAATTGTTGAGTTGGGTCCCTTAGAATTTTAAATGCAATGAATTAGTTTAGAATGATTTTCACGAACTCGAGAATATTGGATAATAAGACTTATATATGAATAATCATAGGAACATATGTAAGTGAGATAGGTGAAATTTAATCCCAACAATTTTTTAATTTGATATTTCCTACCTCTTGATTTGAATTGCAATTCTTATCTTAGTGTTACAACATCTAAAGTTGTTATGAACATCTTGTTAATATTTTGTGTATATATATTTATTCAACTTTAAATTAGGATAATGCAAATTATAAAATAATTTTCAAGTTTTTAAGGATCGACAACCCTACTTTTTCCTTTACTACATAAACTGAATATGATTGTCACAAAAAAAATCTTATCATACTTCAACTTGGAATTACTTAGAATGTGTTTGAAAAAGTGAAAATTAGATTATTTAATAATCAATTATAATTGAATGGATTTTTATTTGAATAAATTTGTTGAAAAATAGTTTTGAAATGTTTAATTTCGTTTGGATGCATAAAAACATTAGTTTATAAATTTTAAATTTTTAAAATTTTAAATTAAAAAAAATAACTTATTTTTAAAAAAAATATTTACAAATTTAAGTTATTGTCTTAAACAATCAACTTATTTTTAAAAAATTCTTCTTCATAAAAATAGCTGAAAGTGTGAGAATTAATATTTTTTCAAACACACTAAGAAAAAAGTTTAAAACTTTAAACACTTTCGCGCTGATTAGGATCTATTTGTTTAAGTAGAAAAGGGAAGTAATGATTTGGGATGAAAAGAAAATTATGAAAATTCGATTTATTTTTGGAATGACTTGATAAAACTAGAGAAATGAAAAAATAAAAGTGGATGCTTACTAAAAATAAATTACAAACCCTAAATTAATATCTAGTTGGTGGAATACTAAAGCCTTCAACTACTGGTACCACTTGAAAATTTTACTTGATTCCATTTTCGAAATCTAATATATCTACGTTGTTTGTAGCGGAAAGAAAAGGCCACAGGTCAGTTTGCAACATACTCCTATAAAGCATCCAATAATAACCCATCAGAAAGTCATTCTTGAACAAGGTGAAAGTTTCTTCTACTTTGCCTCTCATATGTTCCACTTTCCAATTTCCAAGACCCAGATAACCCATGTAACCATGTTCTATACGCAATTGTCTGAGTGACTGCTTCAAGTTCAGTGTTATTTATTAGCAATATTTACTTTACTGTATGCTAAAGGGTGGGTGCTATATCACTATACTACTAGTATTCTGAGCTTGCTTTTAATGTTCTCTGAAGCTGTTGTTAAATTTGGTAAAAATGAGTCTGGGAATTGTTAATTTGTTATTGCACTACTATGTTGAATGTTCCAAAGGTGGACAAATTAGATAGAGGGTAGATTCATATGATGCCTGCATTTTGCATGAGGTAGTAAGTTCTTCTCACGAGCATTTCTATACCAGGAATATATAGCATGCGTTTTTCTTGTGATTCTAGAATTCATTACCAGGAAAAGCCTGAACAACTAGCTAGCCTGCTTTTCTATGTATAATCAAGCATTTACTGCACATGTCCACGTATTTGTCAATATTTGCTGGTTGCCAAAAACAGCTATACTAGCTAGGGCCATGGCAATAAATATGGACTTTTATGGCTACTAATAAACAATTTAGTTAAACACTTATTCAATATTTTCATGTTATGTGAGGGCTCATGCCATAAATTTAACCATAGACTTATTAAACAATATAGAAATACCTTTGATAAACTTAACTCATTGGCTTGGAGAATTGTTGGCTATTTTCATAAATTCAAATAAGTTCCTTATATTATAAACTCTTCCAAACACCTTTCATTTACAGTAAATAACTAAACTAGTAATGTAGTATTACTTTTCCTTTAAATTGGTTGTTGATGTGTTTTATGTGTGTTAGGAAAATGATTCTTGGACGTTATTGGGTGTCTTTACTTTTGAGAGATAAGAAAAAAGAAGAAATAAGTGACTGAGATAACTGATAATGAGATGTGATATTCAAGAGAGATAGAAATAAATGAGAGGTGTTAATGGAGTGTTTGTAATTTATGAGTATACAAATATCACTAAGGATCATACGGGAGAGATTAATAATGGATGAAAAATCATTCGCATGGACCAAAATAGAAGAAAAAAGTCGGTGAAACTACCGGAGGAAAAAAGAGAGAAAAAAATGTAAAATAAATAAGAAAAAGTGAGCCTTTAACGTAGTTTATTGACACACATTATCATTGGGTTTAAATAAATCTTGACAACTTTAAAACATAGGAGACAAACTTGTATGAACTACCCACGAAGAAATTGTTATAAAAAATACAAAATAGCAAATTTATAATCAGTAGTTATGATTACTTCACTGTTTTAGAATAACCAGTGTAGGGTAGCTGTCTAGTTTGATATACTATTTTGGTTTGACCTCACCACAAATATAACCAACCAAACTCACTAAGGAAATGAAAAGGTTTAATTGCGATTATAATATTATTCCTGTTTTTGTCAGTGACTAAAATAAGAATCTCACGTATTAACTTTTTCCTTTTCTCTTCTCTCCAACCCCCTCCCGCTATTTTCATTTTGGTCTGAAGGGAACATTTATTCTTGATAAACATGTTTAATAAATGGCATGTCACACATGTTTTTGTTAAATTCCCACTCTTATTGTTCTTTTTCATTTTTTTCACCTTTCTGTTATCTTTTTTTTTTTTTTGCTAAGTACAAACATAGTCAAGGAATGTATTGCAGTTTTTATAAGATGCTTCTTGAAAGTGATTATTTAACTTTTTAAAATTTTTAAAATAATCCATTAATCCCTTCATTATTTTTGCATCATCTAATGTGCTCTGAACAAGATAGAGGAACATTGAAAAAGTCGTTGTTTATAAATCCAGTGATATGATACAGTTAAATAGTATTACTTACTTAATCGGGTGCGTCTTTTTCCTAGATGAGGATACCAGAAAGGAAAAGCATCCATCTTTTTCAGATAGATTGGTCCATGACTTTGGATCCTTGCAATATGCTGGGGGAACTAGTTCATTAAAAGTGGGGTCCTTTCTTAACATCTTCAAAGCATATAAACGAAAAGCTAGCTTAAAGAAACCCCAGAATAATTTATAATAGGGCACAGTGTGAGAAAGAAAGAACATATATATGCTTTTTAAGTCAACATCCATATTCTAAAGTTGCTGTTAAGTCAGTGAAGGTTACAGAAAGATAATGAAGCACTAATCATGATTTGAAATTTAGAATTCCTTCCCAACTTCGGAGCTCAATGAGTAGTAATCAGGGCACTACTCATGTAGGTTGCTTGAAATTCAGTTGTAACATCTATGTGTTTTATGGAGCATTTAGGTTCTTACATGTTCAATTATTTCCTTGCTCAGAGCTTATATGCTTTAATCGTGATCTTAGATTAGGCAGGTTATTGAAGTAAACTTCCCACGTAGAACCTTTGAATGTGAAGTTGTTAACTCATTTTGATTTCCCTTAATGTTGTTGAGTCTATTGCTTATGGTGACCCATGACTTTGGTTTGAATTCTGTGCCTGATCTATAAATTATGCAAAACATTCTTTGGACCACCCCAACTGTAGCAAGTAGCAACTCAATAAAATAGATGTTCCCCACCAGCACACAATGTCTCCCTCTCGCTTTTCCACTCTCTTTCACAGCGTATGTGATAAATACAGAAACAATTGTTCATGTGCACTTGCATTTGTATTGGTGAAGCTAACAAGGGAAAGTTTGGGGGGGGGTGGGGGGGGCGCAAGGTTAACATAGTGTGTAAAGCATAATTATCTCAGTAACGAATATGGAAACTAAAACATATGGATTTCATAACCTTCTTGTCAGTACATCTAGCAAGAAACAATAACAGCCGGATATCCGTATTACTTCCTAATAAACATTGCTATGATTCTAACAGAGGTCCTTCATCCATGATTTATCCAGAGCTTGACAGGAAAGCAAGACAGAATGTGGTTAGGTGAAGAAAGACGCCAAGGGAAAAATCAGTGACATTGTAGCTCTTATGAAATTTCTTCTTTCAGTCTGCACCACCTGAAACAGAAGTAATAAATGTGTCATTGGAACTGAGCTTAGATAGCATATTTTAGAAACATCTTGAGAAAATAGATGAAACGTCAGAAGACTAAACTTTTCTCACCAAAATCTTTTGGCATTTTGCATTTATAGCATTCTGTCCTGCTAGCATAATTATGCACTCCACATCCAAGTCTGTTGTATTAGAAAAAGAAAGGCAAAGGTTAAATACCGGCTTCGGCCTAAAAAGAGACTGTACTTTGACTACTTCCAATACATGAAAATGCAGCTTTGTGTGTGCACTGTACAGAAGTTACATGTTATCAAATTACATCGTTCATATTTTATGATAGTTGGACATGTAGTGGTGTATATAGTTGGTGTTTGTAGACACAATTAAATGCAGGCTCTTTATTGAAATGAAGCAGGTGATAATGTGATGATAACGTAGGCTAATAAAGAGATACTATTTTGAGTACTGAAAATATGATGGTAATGTGAAGGGACCTTGGACAAAGCCAGTCTCCAGTCTTCCATCCTGGGGGGAAAGTGTCAGATCCATATCCTCCAGAATTGTTGCCATATCCTGAAGAGTAATCATCTTTCATTGCACCACACCTATAGCAGCTTGATCTACTGGCATAGTTGTGACCTCCACAGTTGCAAAACCAGTCCCCTGCTAAAGCTTCAGTTCTGTTGTATCTGTAGGTTGAAGGGTCAGGCCCTCCATACTTGGGGTATCCACAACTCTGGCATGCTTCCCTCTTCTTGAAATTTATGTGCTGGCAAACACCACACATCCAATCTCCTCCAGACCAGCTCATTTTCCTGATCAATATACACACTTCAACATGTGAATTACAAGGATTTTTTGGTTCCACCAATAAGGGCAACATGTGCATGTAGCCTTGCCACACAGCAAGTGGTAAATATTATGAATCTTTCTTTTATGCATGATGAGTTATGACCCTAACTTCTATTAAAGGCATGCAATTTTTTATCCATATACAGGTTATTTGCATAAGGAGGTACTGTATTGGGTGATAAATACTCTGTCATAATAGCATAGCAATCTTGTCAATTTTTCTACTCTACTCAATCTATTCATAGGAGTTGAACCATGAGTCTACATTAGCAAAATTATTTAAGAAGCTAGCGAATGACAAGCATAGAAGCAAGAAATTTACCTTTGAAGAAGAATTGTGAACAAAAGTAGTATAATATGACGCAAGTAATGAGTTGTTATTTCTATAGCTTGGGAGTGAAGATGGTGAGTGTGTTGGGAGGCTTTATATAGTAGTTGTAAGACCTATTGTGGGGGACATGATAATGGCTGTTTTCGTTCCCTGGTAATATGGAAATGGTTTTCTCCATGCGGATTCTAGTAGAAGAATTTACTGGAAGATGTGGATAAAAAATTGTAATGCCTTGCTTAGAAATTGTGGGTAATAATAGTTCATGCATACACGTTTTTCTCTATCCATCTTTTACGTGATTCCTATATGCATTATTGAGAGGAACATATCCATGGCATACAAGGCTATATGAGGGGTAGTTGCTATGTGGTAGGCTGCAAATCTGCTACAGAATCCTATATCTATCCCCTTAACCCCACCAATGCCTTAACAACAGCATGAGCTCATCAGACCCAACAATTATCGGATCCATGCATACTCAGCTTGTAAATAAACCTTCACTGGGTAGGCTTGTGCAGTTAAAGGGGGAGTATTGACAGTGAAAATAATTATGGGAATCTATTCCAACCACATGCACATCCATTTCCATGTTCCTTTTCTGTTTCAATTCCTTTAGGACAATAATTGAAATGCCATTCCAACATTCATATCCAATGCCAATACTTTCTTTTCCTTTAGATATACCACCATACCAAAACCAAAAGCATGTATTAATTTCACGGTGACATGAACTAAATTTTTATACACCAGAACCCTTTAACATATGTGCTCATACGATTGGTTTTCAAGCAAATCAGAATTAGCAGATTTTTCTTCCATTTTTTTATGATTTCTCTTTGTCACATTTATCATATTCTCCCCCCTTTATTCATTTTTCTCTCTTTCTACTCTTGTACCCCCAACGGCTAAGCTTTTCTTATTGTTTCTTTTTGTATATTATTAATTTTTTTTTATTGTAAAGGAAAGTGGTAAGAAAAGAAATATTTGAGGAAAAGTATGCAGCGGCTCGACGCCGGGAAATATCGACAGGTGAACCTAGTTATCTAAGTTTCAAAAAAGTGCTATAGCGGAATCAAAGTCTTTTGGACCTTCAGACTATAATTTACGTGCCAGTGTTAGAACGGATTCTGCAGTATTAGTAATTATATTCATATATTTATTCTCTCATTTTTACTCTTTTTTTACTTTTATATTTTTGTATTATTATAATAGTTAAGTACTGATCAGAAATCACTGTGCTATTGTTTTTTAACTTATTTATTATAAAAACTAACAATTGAGCAGTAACTCAATTTTTTTATTATATCATTTATACATCGATCTATTATTTCTCTCTAATTTCTTTTTTTTTTTCTTCCTTATCTCTCTTTTCTCCTGCTTCAAAAGTGGACCATCATATTTTTCCAAACAGCATAAACCTTAACCCTCAGCTACTTTACATTGTTAGATATTTATGTAATATGTAGGCCTACATTGTTGGGTTATTTTGTAGTGATAAAATTTAAAAAAAAAAGTCACAAAATTCATACACATCTTTATATTGATATAATTTTACCTATTTTAAATAAAAATTCTTGTAAATTGAATTTTGATTATCACTCAAAAAAATTATTATGTCAATGAAAATTTTGTTTTTTAAAAATCTATATTTTTCCTCATTTTATTTTAATAAGATGACACTTTTTTTTATCTCAACATATATATATATATATGTATAACATTTTTTTCTCTATAATATACATATACTAGTGTGTATATATTTTACTTTATTATAAATTTTTTGTTAATCTTTTCTAGTTTCTAATTCTTTATTTCTAGTCATTGTCACAGAATTATGTGTTATGTGTTAACAACTCATGACAAATAGGACTATAACATATCATATAAATATGATAAATGCTACTATGATAACTTTTACATGTGAAGTATCATGCACTAACTTTAATAATCATTAGATTTATCTTATTCCTACAATAAAATGATGTACCCTTCACACTAGAATTTTATTTCTTTCTTCTTCATTGCTACTAGTTTCCCTCCCTTCGTGCTTGTATGCATTCCATGCGTATTGTGTCGTGCCAAATCTAAAGGCTCCATGACCACTTTTTCTTTGTGCATTGTCGAGGCAGATTCACACTCTCACCCAACTACCATGTTGTGTGTCCCTTCGTTGGGACGAGTCATATCTAAACTCATATGCATCTCTTAAGAAGAAGAGAAAGAAAGAAGTGGAAAAGATGGAAACAAAAAGTGGTACGACAAATCCGCGTAGCACACCTTCGGTCTCACGTCACAGTCCACACTCTCGCGCCGTTGTTACCGCACACGGTTCACACTGTCATGTCTTCTTTGCGTCAAACCTACAAAACACTAACTAAACTAAAGAAGAAGATGGGGAGGAGTTCGGATCCAAACTTAGTAATTATGCTGCAACTAAGCTAGACTCAGACTTGCCAGAGTTTAGTCCTAGGATAGGCGACCCATTTTAAGGATTCAAGATAGTTCTGATATTATTTTAGAGTAGAGAATTTGAGCCTAATTCAACTCTACAAAATCTGCTTGTAAAATAAGGATTATTTTTCACTCATATATTTTTTAATTATCTTATCTCTAATTGACGTGGGACTTGAGTTTTTCTCCGGTAGCTCTCCTAACAATTTGACAAAAAATATATTATTTAATTATGGTTTTCACGTAGTATCTTCCTAAATTTTCTTACACACATCTCTTTTTGGTTACTTCACCATCTTTATTCTTCCAAAATATCTCAAAAAACTATTTCAAAAAGCATAGGTGAAACTTATTGGAGGACGTGTATCACACAGATTCTATTATTTTCTTAATTTCATTTTCTTATCAATTTTCCACTTTCTCTCAATTCTTTGTTTAACGATATTCGTGTTTTTCCCGGGAGAAATAATATTTGCATATCATACAAGCTTTCATAAAGTAAGTTTTATTTTAAAGTGTACAAATAAAAATATATATTAAATATTATATATATATATATATATATATATATATATATTATATATGAAATAAAATTAATTAATATGAAAGATAAGGATATAATAAAAAAATTGCATGACATTTTTTTTATGAAATCTAAAATATGATAAACATTTCTTAATCTTGTACATATGCTAGAAGAAGAATCTTTTTTATACTCAAAATTCATAATTCTTAGAATGAATAAATCTGTTTGGTGGCTATATATATATATATATAATATGTGTGTGTGTGTATTACCGACAAGTTGTTAGTTGGAGAAGAACTCAACTTGAATTATATATGAGAATAAATTTACCAATTCCTTTGCTTAAATTTATATATGGATTGTTTACTTTTAGAGGTAGATGAAAGAGAGAGAGAGAGAAATATTACAAAAGAAAGAGAGATCGAGGCAAAAAAAATAATGAAGGAAATATTTTGGTTTTTCTTAAGTTTTTCCCTTCTTTTTGTCTAAATTTTTGAATCAAAAGAAGAAAAGTGATTACTTAAAATTTTCCACTCCTTATTCAATTTTAACGAAACAAAGAAGTTAAATATTTTTTTGTCTTCAGTTCCATTATTTTAAAAATAAATAAGGGAGCTTGATTATTATTTTAGTCTAACTAGGTATGAAAGAAGACATGGCTAGGTATATATATATTACGTAGCTTGGTTAACATTGGTTAAGTGGGTCGAATCCAGCGTGGCATGATGGTGGCTTGATGAGCCAGGGTTGTTCGATAAGGAGGAATCCTAATCACTAATTTTCGGCAGACAAGATGAATATTCTGCATATATATTTAATCAAATCGACATCAAATAAAACCTTAACTGACATTTCATATCATCACCACTCTCAACGTGTGAAACTTTTCTCTATTCAATAGGAGAATCAATGTGCCTCCAAAATATAGCCGTTGCTTTTACATTTTCAACCCATCACCACAAATTTAGCATAATCAAGCTATGTGTTTGGCCAATTTATAGCTTAGCCAATTTAAACCTTAAAATACTAGTCTCTTTGTGTTTACGGAAACGAAGAGAATAAGCTACTACTTGGCAACTCAAAGAATTTTTAAACAGTCACATCAACAATTCAAAATTATATATATGTGATATTATATGCGTCATGCATGCATGAATATCGTTTTCTGAAAAGTCAAAACTCACAAATTAAATATATCGTTGCGTTGCGGCCATACCAAATCCTATAAATAATAAAGTTATAAGAATGTGATTTTTTTTTTCGAGGAGTAAGTTAAATTACAAACATAAGATACAAAAATCAAAACAAGTGCCAGAAAACCTAAAATTTCAGAAGTTTAAATCAAGATCGATCAGTCAAAAAATAAATAAATAAATCAAGCAAATTAATATAATGATGCTAGGATACTGATATACTTTCATTAACCAATAAACTTTGAATCTCTACTCAATTATATCCATTGTCCAGAAATTTATGGATGAATCTTCAAAAAGTAATCAATAATTAACAATTTAATCCCTTGATTTGACATGAGCTTCAAAAGTAATAAATCCCTAAATTCTCAAAGAGATCAAGGAATAATTAAAATAGCAGATAAACTCACCAAGCAACCACCCAATTAATTACACCCGTTTCTACATGCAATGTAATAATAATATCAAATGGATCATCTTATATATAAAATTCAAATATGATAAAGTCATATGTTTAAATATTATTTATATCTCTTTCTTGGAACATGATTCATGAGACCCATTCTGAATTGAATCAAAGACCTTATGTTTAGATGGAATGCATGCATTAATATTTTTTTTAAATAATTGATTCATAAACCTAAATTAAATAGTTTATGTTTGTACACAAAATAATATATAAAGTGTAGCAATGCATGAAAAAGGTATACTCAATAAAATAACCTAGTTTATATCTCACAACACTCGTTTTACTTAAAAATAGAGAATTAAATTGCCTTCTTAGTATTTTATCAACAAGTTTATATTAGATAAGATATTATAGCTAGAATTAATTATTAACTTTTTTTTATTATAATTTTCAACATATATAATTACAGAATGTCTACTCTATCTTCAGAATAAGTCTACATGAAATGATATAAAACATTAAAAAAAACATATTTGTAATTAATTCATAATTTAAAATCATGGATAAAGCATGCTTCGTATATATCTATATAGGCTTGATATAGCGCCATAGTGAATTGGAATTTGTTAGATGAGGTCTTACTGTGTTTAAAATAGATATAAACAACCAATTAATGTGCTTAAGTACTCGAGTGCTGTAAAGCTTTTGGAAGTTGGATTTTTATGGATAAAAAAAATTATATATATAAACATGATATGAAAAGAGTAACCATAAGGCATGCAAGCATATTTGAGTGGCTGAATCCCAGTCCGATCCTCTTCTGCATCTTTTCCACCCTTCTCCATGCCGGTTTCATTCAACAGCTAGCCAATTTAATTTAATTTTTTTTTTTTTTGTTTCATTCCCATTAATTTTCTTGGTTGGTCTTGTTTTCACGTGATTAATGCTTCCTTACGATTAATTCATTCTTTCGCTGCATGCCCCGCACTTACCGTAGAAGAAGCCATATATTCATGACCTGATTTATTGTTTTATTATCCCTTCTTTCATTTTAAATTTTTTAATTAATTTTGGAAAATACATAAAATGAATAAGGGAATAAGCGATAAAAGGAATAAAAAAAAAACACTATAGTAGAATAAAAATGAACGATGATAAAAAAAAAAAATATTGAATAAATATCTGCCACATAACAACTGCCCCTCATAGCCTTGCTTCCCAATCCCATGGATATGTTCCTCTCAATAATGCATAGGAATCACGTAAAGATATATAGGCAAAAGACTGGACTAGCAAAACGTGTATCATCTACTATTATTACCCTTTTCTCCACTTCCCACTAATAACAGCAATATAGAGTCTTATTGCATTAAGATTGGTTACATAAAATAAGTTATGGACTTAGCTACCGATTTCTTATTAATATTAATATTTATTACCAGATCTTTTAATAATATCTCTCAATTTTATTAGTCTTTTCTTTTCACGTAATTAAAATTATGCATTTTACTCTCCTCGTCAATATGCTTCTAGTTATTTTCTTTACACATGTTCTCACCACTATAATTATTTTTTTTTTATAAAAAAGAATTATGAAATCCAACACATATCTTAATAAATTATAAATTTCTTATCAATGATATGGTTATAGAAAAAATCTTTTGATAGTTTTTGACTTTTTGTAACTTCAATTATATCCTCAATTATTTTATATAAAAGAAGTAAAAGTGACCCAGGACATGTAGCATTTTCTTAATAAATCTCAAAATCTTATTAAAAAAACATTCATGCCCCCAAAATGGGTCTTGCATATAAAGTTTCAACACAAGCAAACGGACTCACCTTGACTCACAAGCAATTCTAAAACTACTACTATATATAGCAACAAGAATTCATTACTTGCGTGATAACTATACTACTATTGTTCACAATTCTTCTTGAAAGGTTAATTTGTTGTCTTGTGATTCACACCTTAAATAATTTCTTATACGTGGATGTTATGTGTTAATGCAGTTCAGTGGAACCCCATGGTTCAACTCCTGTGAATAGATTGAGTAGAAAAATTGACAAGATTGATATGCTATTATGACAGTATTTATCACCAAGACAGTGTAGCTCCTGATGCAAATAGCCTATATATGGATAAAAAAAATTGCATGCCTTCAATGAAGTTAGGGTCATAACTCATAATACATAAAAGAAGGATTTATAATATTTCCCATTGCTTGCTGCGTGACTAGCCTACATGAACATATAGCCCTGATTGGTGGAACTAAAAGTCCTTGTAATTCTCAAGTTGAAGTGTGTATATTGATCAGGAAAATGAGTTGGTCTGGAGGAGATTGGGTGTGTGGTGTTTGCCAGCACATAAATTTCAAGAAGAGGGAAGCATGCCAGAGTTGTGGATACCCCAAGTATGGAGGGCCTGACCCTTCAACCTACATATACAACAGGACTGAAGCTTTGGCAGGGGATTGGTTTTGCAACTGTGGAGCTCACAACTATGCAAGTAGATCAAGCTGCTATAGGTGTGGTGCAATCAAAGATTATTGCTCTTCAGGATATGACACCAACTCTGGAGAATATGGATTTGATCCTTTCCCCCCAGGATGGAAGACTGGAGACTGGCTATGCCCAAGGTCAGTTCACTCTATATCAACACATTTTCAGTACTCAAAATAGTATCTCTTTATTAGCCTACATTATCACCTGCTTCACTTTCTGTCAAATTAATACGTGGTTACGTTGTACATGATATTTAACTATTCTATATATGACTTGAAATCGAGTATCATTAATTTTTCTTGTAAATTAAAAGATTTAGATGCTAAATATAGAGATTGGTTAGATCATAAATATTTGGTAGTGTTAGGTCACCTTATAATTTTTCCAAAGACATTAATGACACCATAAAAACAAAAGATGTAGTGTTTTAATGTTTTGATAGGCCAAAGCCGGTAGAAAAGGTTGGGATGGAGAATCAGGACTATGACAGTAATCACAATATCCATGGTAGCCAACATAAAATAATTCAGTTGATTCCTTGATTTTATTGCACTAAAGGAAATAAAATGAAATATGATACAGATATTTTTACCTACATCCTAATTCAAAGTGTTTCGCCTTATTTTTTCTTTTCTAATGTAACAGAGTTGGATGTGGAGTGCATAATTATGCTAGCAGGGCAGAATGCTTCAAATGCAAAATGCCAAGGGAGTTTGGTGAGAAAGTCTAACTTCTGGCATTTCAACTGTTCTTTTGTTGAAAGGATTGTCAAGATTTTTTATTTTTAATCTTTAAATTTGTTTAATCTGAGCTCGAATGATACATTTATTTCTTCTGTTTCTGGTGGTGTAGACTGAAAAGAGGGAATTTCCAGAAGACCTGCAATATCAGTTATTTGTCTAAACATGAGTCAAGGCTCTCTGTTATAGTCAAAGCAAGGGTTTTTGGTTAGGAAGAAATAAGGATATTATTGCTTCTAAGTGCTAGATATAGTGACAACTAGCTTACGAAACTCGCATATTTTGTTCTCCATATTCATTACTGAGATAATTAATTAAGCTTTAGAAACTACTTTACTTTAACCCTATACACACACGGGGAAGAAAGAGGTTGTGTACTGGTGTGGAGCATGTATCCATATAGAATAAGTTATACATATCATCTATCATCACATAAATAACATTTAGTCATCTGTTTAAATTTTTTTTTCTTAATAAAGGAGTTCCGTGTTCGAGGTTAAACCATCAGGATTAATGGTTGCGCAAAAAGATATACAGGTGTTACTACAATAAAAATGTCATGTAAAAATAATTTGACATTAAACTAGTTTTTTTTTTACTGCAAGATAATTATATTATTTCATTAATCATATTAAAATTGATACAAGTAGGTATATTCTAAAAATATTTGGACTAGCGTGAAATCTGGAAGTTCTTATTAAAGTATTAGCAATTTGATTGACTTGTTTGCAGACCAAATACATTAAGGAATTGTGAATCAAATTAATTTCCTTTTACATAAAGTCAAAATAAGACCAAATTTAGTATTAATATAGGAGTAAGAGTGTATGTTATCAAAAATTTGCTTGCAATCATGTTCAAAATTGACATTGTAGAGACGTATACCAATAATTCAAGTGATTGTTGTCAATAGGGATGATGTCTTAGTTTCAAGTAATCGTTGTCAACAGGGATGATGTCTTAGTTTCATGAACAAGAAGGTTACCTAGATGATAAGATGTCATTGTTAGAACAAATTTGCCCTTTTCATTTTGAATACAAGCTCGCACATCATAAGTACTCAAATATGTAAAAATAGAGGCGGTTATGTTGCACTTGCAACAAGTGACTCTTTAATCACTCTTCAATATCGAATGTAATCTTTGATAGTATTGAGTAACATATTTATTGGTTTTTCTAAATCTTTCCAAACCTTCTCACTGCGATAATGTCACAAGTACCAAATGGTGGATATAAAAAGTAATTGTAGGTTCTTGTTTAGATAGTTTAAAAATAGAAAATACATTTTTAAAGATTAACAACATTATCTACAATTGGGCTAATATGATTCCAGCACCCAGAATGTCTCCACACATTTATTACATATGAGAAATCAAAGAAAGCATGTCATCCAAATTTAGGACAAGATGCACAAAATGGACAAGTAATAGAATGAGTAACACCTTTCAAACTAAGACTTAGCCCAATAGGAAGACAATCTCGCACCATTCTCCAAATAAAAAAATTTATTTTGTGGGAGACATGTGGATTCCAAATAGATTGTCAATCTTCTTATACCTACAAATATGCATTATTAATTAAAGATTTCATGACATGGTAGTATGTTGTTTTGATTGAATAATTGTTATCCTTGTTGTGATTTCAAATCAATTGGTTCTCATATATGTGGAAATATATTGGCATTGATATAATCAACTAGCTATCTCTTTGATTAAAAAGATCTTGAACCAAATCTACTCGTCACGTGCTAGATTTAGGTTCAATAAGGTCACAAACTCGGAGACCCTCCAAACCTTCAATTGGTAAACTTTCTACATAAGGATTGCTAGTTGAACGCAACCAAGGAGCATCCCATGCATTAATCTTTTTACCATCTCCCAACTTCCATTTGATGCCTTGATTAACTACCACCAGTGAAGAGTAGATGCTATACCATGTAGAACTTGGATTATAGAGCAAAACTAGCTTTTAAGAAGTCCTTTTTAGAAAAATATTTGCCTTGAAAACTGTTGTAACAATAGCACCTTGGTCAGAGAAAAACTTCCAACCTTGCTGTTCTAGCATAGCTAAATTAACTCCCAACATTAAACGAGTTTTAGTTACTACTATAAATTTTGTTCAACAAAAATTAAATTGATATTGCAAGTTAATTTTGTAGATCTAATGAAATGTAGGCTTGGCAACAGGGTGAAGCATGTACGAGTTCCAATAAACTTGTTCTCGTGTACAAATTTATACCTTATATCCATCTTTGTCTCCATACTTGATAGATATGAAATTTGTGTCTTATCCTTGCCTTTGTCAGGTATTGGATATGTTTCTGCCTAAAAATTAATTAAATATATTTTTTTTGTAAAAAAATGTAAAGAAAAGAAGAATTCCAACATATAATAACAATTATAAAATTACATAATTAAGTCTCATCTAATATAAATTTAAAATAGAGTAATAATTATACAACTTTCAAGTAAATTATAAAATAAGAAAATTAAATTTTTTTAGAAATTTAAAGTGAAGATGAGGACGGGTACTAGGTGGGTATAGCAAGGGTAATTGTGGCGGCGACAATAATAACGATGACGACGATGATGATATTGTTGGCGATAATATCATCACTACCATTATTATCATTGTTGTTGTCACCACTATTATTATCATCATCTAGATTCAAGTAATTATTTTAATTTATTTATACTAAAAGATATGATTTTTCAAACTACAATTTTGTACATTATTGATGATGGATAACGTATTATTACTAGTATGTCAATCTTAGCATTACACTGATAAAATGTTTATATACTATATATATATATATATATATTCATCTTATCTTTGTGTCGGATTTAATAAATGGTATTATCCATACCCATATCCGTATTCGATCAAATCGAGTATTCTTCATCAAAGTTGAAATGGACTCAAACATACATTACCCACATATAAGAATATTTGTCAACCCTAATGATGTGATACATATTATTAAAATGTCATGGTATTAATATAATATAGATATTAATTAAGTTTAAGATAATATAAAACACTCATAAGACTTATCATAATCAATTGAGTAGACTGCGTGAATTGTTGAAAAGTAGTATAAATTTCTTACATTGTGTTGGATGGCTAAAATTAATGGAGAGGAGATGGACAAAAGTGAAGTGATTTAAAAAAAAAGGTGATTAGGAGCATGGGTTTGAGAAAAATTAGGCACATTCATGTATGAGTCTCATGCCTAATTTTATACCTCCAAAATAATGAGAATTTGAGCTAATTTGTATGTTTGAATCTTATATGACAAAAATGTCCTCACTAATAAATGTACCACAATCAACTGGTATAAATTATAATCCATTATGACATGTTATTTATGTATTAAAGTTTAATAACCCCCATGATCCCTACACTAATGACACAGCTACTCGAATGAATATCTAATAAAAACCTCATGAGTGTAAGTTTACTAATATCAAATCATGTACTATATACCATGCATGTGAAATAACTATATAGAAATATATAATATAAATACAATGATCCAACAAAGTAAATTGTACACCTACGGTTGCTTAACAAGTAACTTCTACACATAGCACTACGCCATTGTAGTACCAAAATATATCCAACTTCAACATCCTCTTGATGGCCACCTCAACAACAACATCACATATCTATCCATATTCTGCTCCTATACAACATATGATCATCGTAGTCTAAATCATATGAAAATATGCAAGAATTAGCTTACGAAATAAATAACATATAGCAATACAACTAAAGCAACAAAATCATTGATCGACAATAGTACAACTTACAGCTTACAACATATTTAACATTTATCAACTTATTCATAATCAACATCTCAACATACATATATTAACAACTAATGTGTCATTACAAATATCAACTAAAGAGATCTCCTACAATTGAAGTGAGCAGTTTAAGTAGATTATACCTAGTAAATTACAACGTTAGATCTATTTTAGTCAAGTCAGGTATAAGATAGTGTTAGGACTCATACGAGAGTCAAGTATAGATAATTTAGTTTGATTTCTTGAACTTTACCACTTAAATAAGAAAATATAATACTTTGTCAAGATAAAGCAGTTTAGATATGAATCTATCATAACATTAGTTAGCTTAATTAAGTTACTTATGAGATTAGTCTACCTACTATATATCTTTCAAATATTATAACTTTTCGATATTACATTAGAGATTTTAACTTCTAACTTTATAATTTACTCGATTAATTATTCAACTAAGATATGATTAGTGTACTTTCGTACAAAAATCACATAAACCCAAAGAGAAATAACTTTTAAAAACTACCTTTAATTGTTTAAAAAAACTTGACACCGTTAAAAATATTATAAAAAAAAAGGAAAGTTTGTACAATCTCACGCAATCCGATGAAGACAAACATAAACTAAGAAAGATGGATTTCAATAAACTGCAATTGATTTTTTAATTCAAAAAAATTATTACCAAACTACATAATTAATTATCTAGTTACCGCAATCCTGATTAATGGAAATAAAAAACATAAAAATCAATTTTCATAAATTTTCATATGCAAAAATTGATTGACAATGACAAACTCGAATCCTAAAAAACATAAAATATCAATTTCCATAAAATGACAACTGATTTCCAAACTGCACCAAACTCAGCATCTAAACAATTACGTATTTGAGAATATTAATCTAGCTAGGTACAAAGTAGAAACATTATACTTAGTTTTTCTCTTCTCTCCGTGCAGGTTTCACGGCTATTTCTTTTGTTATTCATATTTTATCTTTATCAAATAACTTCAATCTTTATAGGCATTCATTTTTTTTTGTCTCCCTTCTCTTATTTCCCGTATTATTTCTCCTCTATAATTAATTAAGCCAGACTGCCAGAGTATTAGAGTAACATTTGTGTTGACTCTTATAGCATGACTAAAATGTAAAATATGTTAATCTTATGATTAAATTATATTTTAAAAGTATCTAATATAAAAAAATTTTTGTTAACAATATTTGTTTACATACCTTTCTTAACATATATTTTATTATTGATGAAAAGTTATAAATTTATGAGTTTTATAAATATGTTTCTCTTCTAACTTTATATAATTTTTGATTAAAAAAATGTATTAAAAATGTGTTAAAAAATGTTATTTGCATGCTGACGAAACGTTATTCTGAAATCACACACTGTATATAATGAGCATTATTACAGTCTTTGAAAACGGAAGCCAAAAACGCTCCGAATGATTAAAAAATTATTATTTTTTAATAAATTTATTATAAAATAATTATTTTATAATAAATTTCTTAAAAAATAATAATTTTTTTAAACTCTCACCTTTTTGTTAAAATACATTAACAATTTAGACATAAGTTTTGGAAAGAAAACAATATTTTTTTTGCATTGCTACAGATTCTAACAAAATCTGAAATTTCGTCCGAATCATTAAAAAAATTA